TTTTCTGATAGAATTTAAGGTAAGATGGCCCACAGAAGTTCCATCACATATATGGAACACGGTCAGAGTACTCAAGTAACGTTAGCGTTGTACGAGATTTCCGTGAAGGTGTACTTTTTGTTCTCTCCATTCTAAACCATCTCAGTCGAGATTTTTAGAGGGATTTCGCACGATTCGCACAGCGATACGACGGTCGAGATTCTCTTTCTGGCCGCTGGAGATAAATGCGAAAGATTTTTTCGCCGACGTAAAATGGTCATTCTACACACACATTTTCTCTCTTTCTTTTTGTTATTACTTTCTATTTACTTTATTTGAATCAAATTTAGTTAAAACAGAAAGCGATTTTATAGAAGGATTTTTCAACATTAAAAAAAAATAATTTTTAAAACAGTGTTACCGACGCTAAAATAAAATTCTGCCTCCAAAAAATTATATGACATCAGTGGCTTCGAATATATATATGATATTAGTTATTACATAAAAAAATATTACAAATCAACTTATATAAAAAATATTACAAATCAACTTATAAAAGCGAGAGTTGACAAACGATAAAACGTGATTCAGAAATTTTGTCGATTCTACGCAATCTCGATGATTGTTCATACTAACTTCATTAGGTAATTAACCGCACCGCGCGCTCAGTTTGACTTGATTAGATCTGTCTCGTTCCGATGCGGCGACGTAACGAACGTGACAAAAAGAACAATCTCTATACACGCAAATTAAGCAAGCAAATTAAAAATGCACTTTAATCGAGTATGGAAGCTCTTATTGTAATTTCACAAAGTAAGAGACGATCTCTCAGATTTTACGATTTCATTGATTTTAATCATTAATTTTAGTCATTACACTTTTTCATAAAATATTGCTTCAATACATTTACAATATAATTTACTCGGAAATTTAATTCTATTACGAACATCGTCGTTTACTATATCTTTTGTCGAATCTTATTAATAAAATAATAAATGGTATGAAAAAGTTAATGGAGAATACACTACAAGTATTAAAATTGAAAAGTGTATGGAGGTTACCATATATCACAAAAAATGCCACACGAAATAACTGACACTTAAATTTAATTTTAAAATTCACTGCGTGTGTTTGCTATAAAAGTTATTTTTAAGGTTTCATCTAATTAATTCTTGCCGTAGTCATTTTCACCGAGGAAAAAGGAATAGCGTGATCCATATATTGTAGAGAATTTTTGTTGTGAATCCGATTATTTCCTGTCTTTCGTTAACAGACCGGTGAATCTTTAAAAGCGTAACGTGCTGACGTTAATAGACATTTTATTTTAATAGAAAGGACAGCTATTGTTAATTATAAAGTATTCCAATAGAAGCAACGTGATTTACCTTTTTTATCGTAATTTTCAATATACACATACGAATATAACGAATATACAAATAGACAGAGAATGTTAAATTAAACATGAATAAACAATATTACACATAATAAAAGGTTTGGTTAAATAAGTAAAGAATATAAACGGAACACTTGGGATTTGTAAGTGCAGCCTGACGTTACTGCAGTGGACCGTAGATGTTACCAAGGGCAACATTTTACTTGGAAGCGACAGCGAGCGAAAAAGGCGCATTGCACCTCGGGAGTATACCTGCCCTTTTGCGATAAGAGTTTAGAATGTACGATGCGTGTCGTCCACGTTGAATCGCGAGACTTGACTGTAAAATGACTAGACGCGTGAAATCTTGTGTTTTCAAGCAGAAAAATTATGAAATTATCGTTCCATATTAAAAAGAAGAAAATAAAATCCAGAAAAATGAAAAAAGTAATAAAAAGAAAAGTAATAAAATCTTTATTTTCTTATTTGTATTCTTGATTTTGCGGAATTAAACAGAAATTCAAATCTTGTTAATTTTATCTTTTACATTTGCATGCATAGTTTGGATTACTAATGAAAAGGTCAATATATTATATACGCGTATTTAAACAGAGATACTGAATATAACACATTATATCGATTCATTCATGATAAATTTTTAATCATAAATGATCATTTACGCGAGAATTTTTTCTAACATCTTTCAATACAATTAAACGTAATTGATAACTTTAATTATACATACATGTGTATATAAATTTATTTTGTATTTTCTATATCTTTCATTAGTAAGTTGCAATTATTAATTTCTTCAGTATATAAATAATAGAAATTTTGAGAATTCTTGACATTTCCGTTTTCCCATTTTAATTTTTACTTTTAATTAATTCTACGCACATATTACATTGGCGGATTCGAAAATTATATTAACAAAAAAAATAGTATAATGAAATCTCGGTTTTATGTACTTAAGAGTTCCTTCAATTAAAAAATATTTTTGAAATATTAGAATTGTGCCCTGATAGTAATTTAGGGTCAAATTGGCAACAAACTCGATTAGATTTTGACTACAAAATCATGGTCATCTGTGTCCGCATTTGGCTATAGATTTGTCGATAAAGCCTGCTGAGAGATTATGCCAGCAGATTGGTGGCAGAAATCGAGCGGAGTTTGCTCGAATCAGGTTCTGCTCTCAATCTGCTCTCAATCTGCCATCAGGTTATGCAGGACTTTGTTCGGTTTCTGTTACCAATCTGCTGGCAAAGCATGTCTAACAAGCTTTGTCACATTTCTGATAGCAATTTGCTGACAACAATTTATTGACACTGTCAGATAATATAAATTCTGTGTTAATTTGTTGTTTTTCTGCAATCAAAAATTGGTCGCAAGCTCTGTTCAAAATCTGTCTTCGCAGGTTTCACTATAATCAGGGTGATTAAGCATTTGAGAAATATTAATACACACTTTTGGGTTATTCGAGTCCTGTGCATTTCTTTTCTTTGAAATAAGAACACCTGGTCAAATACCGGTCTCTTTTCTATTCCTAAAAAAAGTTTAGCATCTAAAGAACAAGTTTTGTGCATTGCCGGCCTCAATTCGTGCATATCCTTTAACTAGAATAACTCCGAAGTTTATCTCTGGGTCACAAATGACTCATCGTGTGTACATTTTTTGTAACTAAAAAAATTTTTATTTTTTTTTCATTTTCAACAAATTCTTATTTATATCGCGGGAATATTTTGCGAATTATTAAAAAAAGAATTTTGTTCTAGAACAATACATTTATTTTTGGCATCCTTGTGTTAAATGTTGTCTGTAATATTATAAAAAACATTTTCCTAATAAATTAAAAGTTTTTCTAACACAATAGCAATAATAAAATCTATTGCTTAAAATATAAATGCAACATATCTTTAATTTATAACATGCATATTAAATTCATGCATATTAAAAAAACATTTTCAAATTATTAAATAACTGAATTTTTTGAACAGCTGATGCTAGAAATATTTTTTCTTCTGTAATTTGGAACGTCAACTTTAAAATATTAAAATAATACTTTCTAAAGTTGTCAAAATATACATAAAAATCGCTTAATAATTTTTATATACTTTTGTAAAAGTGATGAAAATTAATTCAGAACACGAAATATCCAACATGTATAATAAGGGTGCCAAAAAAACCAAGATACTAAGGGTTAAAAATAAATATAACATAAATATTTTTGCTACAAATATTTAAAAAAAAAAGATACCCGAGGCTGAGGGTATTATTAATTTTCATGGCCGCCTCCCCTCGTGGATCCGCTATGATATATCAAAAAGTTAGAACTCCTTTTTTATAAACATTAATCTTTTTACCTGAACCAAATTAAATCCTATTTATTATTTTTGTTATTTCCGTGCGATCGAGCATTTACCGTCCAGTTGATCACATATATCGTTCATTACGTTCGATTTTAGCAAATGTACTGGCAGCGCCGCGTGACGCAAACTCTTTGAACTATATATTCTAGGTTTGCTGCTTGTTTCACGAGATGGCGTTTCCTCATCGGTATGCTACGATTGTCACTTCTTTGAAACAAGTGCGCCAATTCTTTGTCATTCTGAGTTATTTTTCATTTTCGATTGTGGTTTGTACATGTTTTGCCTAGTTTCGTCGCGTCTCACATTGTTTCGCGTTTATTTTGCAAAAAGTCGATATTATGTTTAAAATTGATTATTTATGTAGAGCCGATTCGCAAATATATCTCAAGTGTAAATTGTCAGCGGACGTTGAAATATGCAATCCACCGAGTTCATTACGCCATGGATTCATATGAGGAGGCAGGAAGTTAGGATACGAACGGAGATGAAACATTTAAAAGTTGTAAGTTTATTCTTTAATTATTCTTGTCATTATAATTTTTTCTCAATATATTTTCGCGGTATTATTATATAACATTATAGTGTTTACATCATAATGTTGTAAAGAATAACAAACCTTAATTTGTATTTATATAGACAACGAAGACTATCTAGTTTCTGAGAAATCTTAGAAAACTTTTGATTTGGTATTTCATTGCAGAAAAAATAATATAGGATGAATTTATATTGTATATATACTCTCTAAATTTCATGAAATCTCATTTGAAGAGACTGAAAATTGAGCCAGTCTTGAAAAGAGAATCAAGATCTTGTTCAAGAGTGGCAGATTTTCACTCTTTTCAGAGTGAGATTTACTTTTTTGGAAGGAGATTCCAAAGGAGTGAAATCTCAATCTTTTTTTTGAAGTATAATACCAGGGTAGATGAAACCTTACTCCAAAAAAGGGATTGAGATTTTGCTCCTCTGGAGATAAAAAATGGGATTCCAAAAAAATAAATCTCACTCTAAAAAGAGTAAAAATCTGCCACTCTTGAACAAGTAGTAGTATTTTCATTGTTTTTTCAAGACTGACTCAATTTTGAGTCTCTTCAAATGAGATTTCTCCAGATTTAGAGAGTATACATTTATACATATTATACATTTATGACATGAATCTGCGGTTTATGTATTCATTATTTAAGACTTGTTATTTAAGAAGAGCAGCTTTTTAAAACTCTATAAGTGATAGATAGAAATATTTGGAAATGAAAATAATAAATAACGAGTATTGGCAAGACGATTAAATGAATAATAAGGCAGAACCATCGACTGAGCGACACTCGACGACATACTTTGGTAATCGCAAGCGGGAGAAGAGAATTGCTGTCACAAGACTGGCGTATGATCGTTTGCACGACGTAACTCCCTTCGATCCGAGTAAACCGCGATGTGATCGCACGAAGCCACATTTCATTTGGGCGGAGATACACGAGGAGAACAAACGTCACGTCGTGCCAATGACTGCTAATCACTGGTACGGTCGACCGAATAGAGTCCAAATCGATTATCCCGACGTGAAATTTGCTCGATCGAACAAAACTAGAGAGTTCTACAGTCGGCATCTCATCTTATTTTGATTCTTGATAGAGCAGAACGAGAAAATCTAAGTTTCTAAGTTGAAGAAGTTACCTTCTTTTGCTTCATGAAACGTTAGGCGAAATCTGTAATCTTCATATTTTTATTTCGAGACGAAATACAGCTGAAAGAAATATAAAAAAATATAAATTAACAGTTGAAATTTATATAATAGCAAATAAAAAAAGTTTTCTCTACTCCCTTCGATTTTCTTTTTGACGTTTTTTTTCTTTTGCTGTCGTTATTAATGTAGTTATTAGACGAGTAATCTTTAATTAAAATTATTCGAATAATAATATTGCGATTTGACTATCTACCTTCTCGTTTTGATGAAAAAGTCTATTTTATGAAATTTTATCGCTTAAAGTTTTTATCGTGCTTAATTAAAATTAGAACAAATTTCGATGAATGAGCATTTGACACATACAACAGAATACGCTAACACAATTGCCAATTAATATTAGCGTGCCATGTTGTGTTTTCAAACATTGGCTAAACGTATAACAATATTGACAATGTATAGGATTTGTCCGGAAGCAGAATGGGTAAAATGAAAGTATGATGCCGCACCCGATTTACGGACGACGCATAGATGCTTTTGATTAATGAATTATTTTTGTTGTGGCATGATAAATATTTTTTTAGCTCGACGAGGAAATCGTGTAACATTTATATTATTTGAAATGAATTTAAATCGAATTTTTTAAATCTTTGAGAAAATTTGTATGAAAATTTAAAAGAAACATTTTCCGATTTATGTATCTTTTCATAGCATTGATAATCTATCTAATTGCCACGCAATTTATTATTGCTATATTTATTATTGCTATATTTTACTTTATATTTAAAAGCTTAATATTATGCAATATGAAAGACTCAATTATTTTTAAAATAGACTTTTAGCCTTTGGGGTATTTTTATTTTTTTATGAGCCTTTTTTCTCTTTCTATCTTTCTCTATTTTTATACTGACAGTGTACAGAGTTCACTGTCAGGCTTTATTCTCAGATAAATTAGTGAAAAGGCTTCTACTATAAAAGTGAAGTATGGATTGTCATAATGTCGCTTTCAAGATTAAATGCGCATCGATCGGCTAGTTCATAAGTTCGATGCCTTTAAAGATATCCTATATCCACAATTTTTTTTTCAAGCACTACCAAAGATTTTTGTCTGCATCTTCATATTCACAAATATCTTACGTTTACATTCGATATTGATAACGAAAATACGCGTTAATAATCCGTAATGATCTTTACATCTTAAATTATACATACTTTTTATAGCCTTAATAGCAGTTAAAAATTTCAAAGTATCTTTTTTTTGTATTTAATCGAAACATAGTTGAATTTCATATTTTTTAAAGCGTGAACATCCCTTGCATCCCTAGGCATTTCTGTTTTCTTTGTCGTATGGTATCACGGAAGTGAGGTTGATACCGGGATTGCTTTACTTCCGAATACTCAAAAGGAAATGTCACGGAGAAAAAGAAAGCGAGAGAGAAGGACGGGAGATAGTGCACGTATACAGATATGTATACATTTCCGCCCTCGGCTCGCAACTCGGTATCGAGTTTCATACGAAATGTCGCGAGATCCTTGAAACTCAAGACTTGGAAAGTGCCGACTTCAACCGGCGATGTTTGTCGGAAAGAAATTTTTCTTTACTGCCGTTTATATACATCATGGGAATAACGTAGGATTTAACGTTGCACTCTTTCTATGATACGCGAAACGATTATCGTAGCTTTCGATGCTTAAACGTTAGATATTGAAGATATAACGTATCGCCTGAAGACATAATGTATCGCTTCATCGCGACGGTAAGTCAGGTTATCTAAGACGGTCCTTGCATATTTTAAAATAAACGTTTCTTGGACAGCGTGATTATATGTTCATGTACAAAAAAAGATGATGTGAAGGACGTGCAATCGAATAAATAATAGACAGTAGCATCATTAGATCGATGTAAGGCTCGCGGGACTTTGTCTAGACGGAGGTATAATCGAAGGCGACATGAGTATTAAATTTATGATCAAATGCAGAGCTTGGCGTATTGATATACTTTTCTCAAGAAAGCGAAATTTTACGATAGAGAAATTTGGAAAAGATACAATTTGGATTTTTTTGAGAAGGAGATTTATCGAGATTTGCAAGGTGAACCATTTAGTATTGGAAAGATAGAGATGAGAGGTGGCTATATCTACGAATTGCTAATAACTACTGAAGACTGCAAATTTATGTGTATTAATGGGTGTCGACATTACTTCTACTGTAGATAGTTAAATCATTAGAAATACGAGCAATGTGACATCTGTTCGCAAATCGTTGTTTATTTCCGACTCGTTAATTAAAAGTCTAATTAGTACCACGTCAATTAATGAGAATTCCACTTTTGCTGGATTCTACATGGCCGTTCGCGCAGAAAAAGGAAAACGTTGACGACGTTTTCGCAGCACTGCGTGACGACCAGCAATTAGAGACTTCTCGTGACCTCTTTTTTGTCATTATTTATTTATGTATGGTATAATGTACAATTTTTTTGAGAAAGAGAGACTCGTTGAAACGAATTTAATCTCTTATAGCAAACGTTGAAATCATATAACATTTTAAAAAAGTTATATTTATTTTCTCGCCATTAAAATATTTTTTTTTAATATTAGAAAAAAAATTCTTTATAATATACAAAAATATTTTATTAATTTTTATTAATTTTATTAATTTTATTTTATTAATATTTAAAAATATAATTAAAATTTGTACTCTTTGTCACAGAAATTGAGGACACTTCAATTTTATAGCAGGCGAAAACCGTACGCTACGATAAAAACTTTATTAGAAATAAATTTAAATGGTTTCTCTATCTAATATACATTGATATTAGCTAGCTCGTTCCTGTTCCTAGCTTCAGGACGCAGTTAATCGAATTACCTTTGGTACCGTAAAGTAACGAAGCCGAAAGGGTTATATAGTATGTGACCCCATTAATAGTTGCTTCCGAGAAGTTAGATACATTCATACTAAGGGCGAATAAATTTTGGCGGTTACGAGGCCCGTGAAGTTTCTCCGAATTGTTTTATAGCACCCGATGAACTTTAATGATTTCTCTGTCATAGCCTGTATTATACTTATATATCTTCTCGTTTCTTCCTCCTTTAGTCACAAAACAATCACGCGTAAGTATTTGCCAAGCGTTTCCGTTTACATATGGCGATAAAATCGATTCGCACGTAATTTTATTAAACGGTATACTTTAATGGGTTGTGTAACACACGTAATTAACGTTAACGGATCTATTTTCCCGGACCTCTGTTTAGCTGATACGTCGTTGATGTTAATTGGTGGTCATGCAAGTTTTGTGTGGATTAATTGTTAGCAATAATATACGCGCAACATGTAATAATCTAAAGTTACATTTTCGATATTTCGACGGTAGTGAACTATAATCTAATGTTTGTTATTCGATGAGTCGATTATAACCGCAATATACAATATCTCTCTGTAATTCTAAATTTACGTATTTCCGCAAAATCCACAAACTGATAATTATTGTAACAACTGTTCATCATAACGTCATATATACCTAAGATAAATACTGTAAGCTGCAAGTATTCGAGCTTCATCTCGCCACATTTTTCTCGAGTCGACTGCGCTCGGTGCGGTGACGTCAGTAAATTTTCGGTACGTAGACACGTTATCGCGATGTACAAGCCTTTTTTGTTCATAACAACGTATATTACGAGCTTCGTTTCCTCGTCACATTGCTGAATATCTATGTCGGACGGATTTACAGTGTGCCATAAATTATACCAATGCACATAAATTATATCAATCCGTTTTAGATATTTGTATGCCACTGCATCAACTGTCGTCTCTCTCTCTCTCTCTGCTCTCTCTCTCTCTGCTCTCTCTCTCTCTATTTCCAACTTACAAAATCTTTGTACGAAGATTATAGTATGTTAAATATTTGCAGAAATATATTTTTTGTTCAATTTATCAGAACAACCTTTATTTTTCCTTATACGATCATGTGAGAATTGGATGCAGTATAAATTCGGTGCACAGTCGTCGATGTTGCTTACTAGATTAGACAAGTGGATACGATATGGCGGCGATAAATGTCGACAAGACATGTTCCTTGTTATCGATTTCTCCGCAGGATCATCGGAAAACATCTCTCTTGACCGATTGTGACATTAATAAAATATTGGAACGCAAATTTGGTAGTGGTAATTCTCGACTTATCGATTGGAGGTTGGAGCCCCTCAACAAAACGGAAGGTTTCCTCGGTCAATATCATCATCTTCGTATTAAGGCGCGAATCGATGGCAAGACGCAAAGTTTGCAGTTCTTCGCCAAAACTCCACCGCCGACTCATAGCCCGCAGTTCAAATTTCTGCAACGGTTTGACACGTTCAACAAAGAGATCACCTTTTATACGGATTTAGTGCAACGTATGGGTGCGAACGGAGCTCCAAAGTGGATGGTAGAGTGTTACTTTTGGAAACGAAACGTCATCATCGTTCTGGAGGATGCGTCGATAGATGGTTACGCTACGCTGAACAAATACGTACCGTTCGACAAAGAACATTGCGTTTGGATACTGAGAACTCTTTCAAGGCTTCACTCGAGGTCTCTGCTATTGGACGAGAGACTTTGTCAGAAAAGCGGTCAGACCGTCTTCGATCTATACGGACGACTTCTGAACGACGTACTCTTTGTCGATGGGGACGATCTATCGGAAAAGGCCCTTATGTCCTCTCTCACAGGCGTCTATACTATAATTGATCTCATTGAAGAATTCGATGATAAAGAGAAGATCGTTGTTAAGCGCCAAATTAGTGAATGGGTTCAAAAAATTTCACAATTATTGGCACCATCGAAGGAACATAGAAATGTCATTTGTCATCGTGACATTTGGGCAACCAATATAATGTTTCGACACGATCTGGCCGGCAATATAAACGGCTGTTATCTGATAGATTGGCAATTTTTTTGTTACTGTCCTCCGGCTATCGATTTTATGTGCTGCCTGTATCTAACCACTGATCGAAGTACCAGAGATAGTCATTTCGATTTCTTCGCTAAAGTTTATTATGATTCATTGGTTCAAAGTTTAGCGGAAGAAGGTCTCGATGTGGAGAATTATTTCTCCTGGACAGCATTCGAGAAGAGTTACATAGAGGCACGAGACATAGCACTTATTTATGCTGTGCTTAATTTGCAAATAATATTACTATCCAGTGAAATAACTGTGAATTATTTCTACAATTCGATCGAAAAACTTGAAGAAATTTTATACGGGGATGGACGAGCGGAACTCGTGCGCTATCAGTGCGAGAAGGAACCGATATATAAGATGCGTATATTTGAGATTATACATGAAATTAAAGATCGTCTGCCGAAACATCCGCCGAATCTATAATTTTCGTATCTATAATTTTTGACTATGAGATATAGTATACTTAGAAGTATGTTGGTATCTTCTTTTCGAAAAAAAGATATAATTCATTGTGACCAAAGATTGAAATTGTATCAGGTACGGAATTATTGTCGATAACCTATTTACAATGTTTTGATTGTAGTTTCGAGAATTGTGTTGTTATTCTTCAGAAAAATGTGCTTGTTCAATTAGAATGAAAAAGGATTTGCTAATACATGTAACATATTAAGTTTATTAATATATGCAATGTAAATTTTTTATTAATGTTAATTATTCAGAAAAATTATATATTTATTAACCTTCGTATTGTATATGTACAGTATAGAAGAATATTTATATGGTTTTCTAGTTATAATAATATAAAATGTATTCTTCCATGAAAAATATCTCGAAAGAAGTAATATACATCAAAAATGTAAAAGATCTTAAGTCTTGAGATAGTTTGACATTAAAACATGTATTGGATGGACAAAGAAATATCGGAATCTCTGCTTTTCAGTTATAATTGATGATAGAGACATATTTCTGATGCAAATGGACGTATAAAAGCTTTCCCATGGGAATTTCATTTTACTCATTTTTCAAACGCCATCATTATGTCTCGTTTCTTCTTCTTAAGAATTTCTCTTCAACTGCATATTCATTAGTATATTAATAAATAAAGTAGAGTACATTATATCTTTGTTTAAATGTAATTTTGTAATTTTTATCTCTACAATCGACTATATTTAGTTTATTAAAGAGATTAATTATCTTCTTTTGAACGTTTTATACATCTTTATTCGATATATTAATTTATTTACATATTTATTAGAAAAACTAATTCTGTATAGTTAAAACCATTATGTGACATAGCACTTTGCAAACTTAAACGAGACCATCATTCTATGTTACGTCAGACTAACTTTGTCGTGAAAAGAAAAAGGGATTACGTTGCGTAATAAACTTTAGAGCAGTCAGCTAGAAAAGAAAGCGTGAGGAAAGAAAAATTTAGCACTTAAGATGAATTCATGTTATTGGCATTATATATTTATATAAAGTATATTTTTACATAAGGAAAGAGAGAGATATTTTTACTATTTTATTTACTATTTTAATTAATTTATGCATGTCATATGATAAAGAGAGTATTTCATAATTACTTAGAGAAACAATAGCTGAGTATCTCATTTAAATAATGTGAAAGAAAACACAATTTTATATTCTGTATAAATATCAAGAATAGCATAAAATCTTATTAAAGATTATTTTTTTCAAAAAATTTTTATATAAATTTTATTAAAAAGATCATGTAAGTAAAAAATTAGATACGTTTATTAAGAAATCAAGTAATTTCTATATAGTATATAATGAATATGCGAATTAAACGTTCAAGATAATTTTCTTTACAACACTTCTCAACGGTGGAATCGTCGTTCGCGTGATCATTGGTATCTTGGTGATAAAATGATGAAGAACCAGACTTAATGACCCATGACGTTATATCGAATTAAAGCGGAAGTTCCTTTTATTGCCAGCTATTTAAAGCGCGCGTAATCACCCTTGCGATGTACTAATGATATACTTGCCGGCGTAAATTGTTCCGACCGTCTACGAGATAGACATTTAGAGGCTACAAATAGTTATTCCGTTGACTATAGCTTAATTGACTATATAGTCGTGATAACTGAATGTGAATTAAACTCGATCTATCTCGTTGATTTTCACTCAACGCGACGGCATGAAGCCGCCGTCTATCTAGAATGGTGTTATGATTTCATTATATATAGCAATATGCATCTCTTTTTAACGTTGTGATAACGGATTCAATAATCTCTTATAATAAAAATCGTGGAAGTGTGTTATGAATTCGCACCGTTATGAATTTTCTACTTTAAATTTTCATCACAATCTTTTATAATATCCATATAAATTGATCATTTCTTTCGCAATACCTTTATTAATCTCTAAACGGATCTCTAAACGGAATCTCTGATTACGAAAGTATAAGGGAATATACTTACCGCTATACGTTTGTTACACCTACAACTGCTTTGAAAGCAAAGAAATCTAATAAACACATTCGATCGACAATCGAATAATTCGTTCTGTCCGTTCGAATAAAAGATGGTACGCGAATTGTGTGAAGGAACTTTCGACATGATATATATATACATATACATTCATCTCGTGGAATACCAGGGTCGCGAACTATGGACTCGCTGTTTATGCGAAATCCTGTGGCTCGTGGTGGCGAGAACGGAGAGCGCAGGCGTCCGGAGTCCTGTGGCGGCAAGCGAACTCCGATTTTCTCTAGTGTCGCGTCAACTGCCGCTGGAGAGTCGTGTACATCGCACCCTGCCGGCTAGGCTGTGCTTGGCAACCCCTTCTTTCTGCGTGGCTTTACTACGTGGCTACCACGTTCACTATTTTCGTCTCGTTCAAAGTCAAGTCCGAAATTAACGAGTCAGTTCCGAGGTGCGCCGAATTTACCGAGGTTGCGCAAGTTATCGTATACACGTGAGCTTTAAACGCACGCTTTTTTTTTTTTTGACATTGTGTACTTGGTGTAATCTGTAAGCTCTCTTTTCGCACCTTTTCGTTTCGGTATATATATATATATATTGAAATGAAGATATATCGTGATTAATTCGTAATTAATTCGAGATTGTAAAGGATCTTACTTAACCTGACCTGACGACCATGACAATCTCTTCGTGATCGGATTCCGATTTCGAGATCGAGACCAGACTGAAATTTTCGATTTACGTATAAGGGGTTGTGAATGAGTGTGCAGGATCGGAAAGGCGAGTATTGTGCGTGCGTTTTGTAGGAATTCGCATTCGTTCAGTGTTGAACTGGTGGACGCGATCTCGCTGGTGGTGGCGATTTCGTTCGAATAAGCGATCGTCCCGAACGCGTCCCATTTCCGGTCGTTTGCCGTTCGGAAACGTGACGTATTTGCGAAGAAGTGCATCGATCATGAATTGGTGCGACGTGCGAGCTTACGCGGATTCGGTCGACAATTGGTTCGTACGTCGAGGAATGTTCGCATCGGACGCCAAAGCATGAGGAACGACGCATTGACGTAATGGTGAGCTTTTAACGATATCATTTCTATATTAGCAATTCATGGTACGCAATTCATTGATAAAGAGTAATGTCTGTGAAGATATATATTTGTAACGAAAACGCTTAAACTTTAGGAAATTTGAGAGCAAACTTGAGATGATTGGCAGAGATAGGTTAGTGCAAATGATAATCTCAAAAAAATATCTCGTTTCTTACAAAAAATGAATATTTTCAAGCATAAGATTTCGAATGTTGACTATTCTATATTATATACACAATACACTGATAATAGATTAATCATGAGCGAGAGAAATTGTACAAAGTGCAAATTTGTGTTATAAAAAGTGAGTCGAAAAACGTGCTATATATTGCAATTTACGCATAATAAGAATTGCTATCGCACGACAAAGTCATTTACGCGATGGAAGAGTTGATCTTTTATTGGAGTGCGCGGAAGGATAGAAAATGGCGTGAGAGAGTTTCGGAGCCATCAACCATTAATGGCACGTGTCGAGGCACGCAATCTACATACCTAAGTATGTACATAGGCGACGTCGAGCACAATGGTGATGTGCGATTCTATCTTATTCTGTTCCAACTTGCACGCGTTATAAGACAGTAATCATGATTGATCGAATTAATTGTCCGATCGATATACGTAATATTGAACTATTAAAAAAATTAATGTTCTTTAATCAATTTGCACTATCCTATATTATATGAGAAATTTATACTTTCTATTTAAATAATAGCATAATTTACTTTAAAACACATTTAATTTACTTGCAAATATTATCATATTTTTTCTATTGTAATACAATTTTATCTATTCGTTATTATTAGATACGTTTTAATTACGTGCAGAGAAAAATGTTCTGTATCAATAAAAAGTACAAACAAAACAAAACAAATTCTGATCGTATAAATCAGAGAATTTTGGTTATTGTAATCGAATTTCTGGTTATATTTCGAATAAAATACAATATTTAATAGATTTAACTGTAAGTGTCTGATTTTTTGTCATGCATATTTTTTAAAGAATTAACGTCTCGCAAAGCTAAAATGTGGATTTTAATTTTCATGTCAAATTCTTCAATAACAGTCAGTTTAGTTTTGTTATTCCTTGACGATTTAATAAAACGGTACATGTTTTTGATACTTTATTGCGGTACGTCTGTGTAGCATTGAATTGGCAAGTTTTAAGCTTTGAAAGCAAGAGATTCGGCCGTCAAGCAAACAGAGAATATCTCTCGTCGGCAATGATTTATTCGACGTTCACAGAATGACAGCGGGTGACATTCGTGTGCACCCGACACGCGTGCAACGTATGCGTGTTCAAACACGTGACGGGGATCACTATGAGCCCTGACACTCGTTACACGACTGACTTTACAAACGTGGTGTACACGGTATACAAAGTTCACAATCTGCTGATACATATCTTTCGTCTAAAATATTTTCTCTTCATATATTTTTACGTCAATAAATTTTTCGAGCATATCGTTTAATTGTGCTTCAAATAAACACGCTGAAATACGTATAGATACATTATTTTAATAATTATAATAAAGAAATATAGAAAATGATACCTACGTAATATATATCATTTACGATTAAGCGTATAGTTAAACGTGTAGAAATTGCTTAATAATTCTAACCGCTTGTCGAGTAAAGCTGTGTCAATTTACTCCAATGTCTCATATCCACGAACAGGTTACGTGACGCATTAGACTTCATACACATATAGAACATATGCATGCCTGGTTCGAGATAAACCGCTGCGAGCTAATGGCATTAAAATGTCTCGCGACTAATTCCCTTTTGGATGTATGGCATAACTGTATTTCAATTCATACATATATGTATACATCTATGTATACATAGTTTGACCTTACGAAGTGAGAGAGAGGCGAAACGTGACAAGTAAACTAATTGTAACACTCAAAATCGCAACGTCACTTCTACCAACTGCGAGATTTTATTTACACTTTCATGAGCGTAGTTTCGTAGTCTCATACGGAGATTGCATTATCAGTCACGCTGACGCGTGTAAACCGATTTCACTGGCATGCACGTTCCGAAGGTTGCATGCGCTTTTACGACCGTTGCACGCGCTACAAACATTACAGCTCGCAATACTCATTTCTTAGAGAATATGATTCGTGTAGGATAGGACGAAGTCATATTTCTTTATTAATTTTATACGACCGGTAAATAAGTAAGATAATGAATAAGAGAAGCCTAATATCGATAAATGATAATTGTTAAAAAGCAGCACAATAACTCGGCCAATTTATATCAAACTTCCTTTACACTCGTATCATCGATTTTCACATTTTTTTTTTTAAACGCTTTGAATTATAACCGCAAAGTCTTATTTTATGTCGTCTACGTGATACAATATCTAGAAAGCTAAATTTATGTGTAAGGTGAATCGCTCGTAGTTGCTTTGGGATCGCTATCTAGACGATTGATCCCTTGAGAGAGATCGCGAGATGACATGTATATCTCCTGCGATGCAACGTCATGCAATTAGACGTACACAGTTACACACATGGTCATATCGGTAAACTCGCGAAACCAACGTCGGATAGTTCATACGTTAGTGTGATTCAGTTTGAGGCCGTAAATTAACTGTATAGCGGCAATTCTATATAGCGGCTATGATAAAATCTCCGTGAAATATTTGCTGTCATACCAATTGGCAATTTCGGTGGAATTTTTTTTCTCCGAAAGATATTTTATGAATCATATATATTTTAAATTTGTTTTTGCGCAAATACAGTATAGGACCATCGCGAAGCGTGATGTGTCCTCTTCAATTCGTGTAACGTGAAGAGATTATCAAATTCATGATCTAACGCAAAATTAGCATCTTGATGAAATTACAAATGCAAATCATTATTTTCCTCGGCGAGTTAGGGCTTTGATGTTACATGATTTGCCGTTTAGAATTATTACGGATATCGCTGTGTATAATTATACAGCTGTTATACGCTATATAATGATAAAGTTTCCCCTTTCCATTAGTAAGTACTCGAGTCTTCAATATTCTCAGTAATATAGATGAGAGTCGCCTTTGATATCTTTCACAATATTTCATCATTAAGATTCTTTCTCGACGAAACGGTGATATTTGATTAAAGGTGCGAGGACGAGAGCAATAAAAAATTTAAAATATTTCTAAATCACGCGTTAGCGACAGAGGAATGAAGTCCAATGTAAAGTAAAAAGAAATTAAAATCCTTTCCTTTTTGATTTCCGTCTTAATCTTTTGAGCTCAGCTTCGCAACCATAGATTTTCCGTGATTTTCAACAGTGATTTTTAACTTGGACGTAACGGCTCGGTAACGCCCATCCAGCGGTCGTATTATAGATATGAAAAGGGCTATTTGCGGACTATGAAAACGAATAGCTTATGAGAGTAATCGCCGTTTATAGACGCATTACTGATATACTCTGGAATAATAGGCACGTCTACCATCCGGTACATGTAATATTTACCGCAGTACGACGGTGCTGGAATATAGCGACAGCGTAACAGTCAAGGATCGATAGCTAGTAGCCTTTTTTTTTTACGGCTTAGATCTTACATTCGAAATATGCGCAGTGAACGAGCATACATGGATAGAATAAGTTTCCAAAAAAGATATGATTGAGTACAACGAAGTAGTAACGAAATCGAACGTTATATAGCTGAAAATTTTCGCCTTTTTTTTTTGTTTGTATATTTTGCGACGTCAAATTTGTACATGTTGTATATGCAACGCGATAAATTAAAACCGTAGGGAATATATTGACGGAACGACTAACAGGCACGCACGCACCGGCCGCACGATTTGTTACACCGACAAATTATTGTGAAAAAAAAGTCGAGATAAAGACGCGCGTTTTGTTTCGAATGTGCGGCCGGAGTTTCTGCGATAAAGTTAATAAATGGTGCTCCATCCGTGGTTCTTAACTCCAATTATCACACCGTTCTGTTTTAATTGGTAAACTCTTGTTATTCATTATTGTAGCTACTTAAGCCAAAAATATTTTGATTTTTAACGCGATTATAAAAGATCGACATAGCATGTGCGTTTGAATTGTGTCAAATTAATTTACGCAAAAATTCATGATTATGTCTATTTAATAATAGACATAATCTGTGATATTACGGTATTGATTCATTAATACAGCTATAAATAATTGGCGGAAGTAAAATGTCGTTCATGTCCAATAAAATGTATATTGTGATGCTCGTATCTATCCATGCGGGATTGCGTGCGCATTGTTTCGAAGATGAAACTAATATATAGATAGAGAAATAGGGGAGGTTTGACGCAACGTGTGCGAATACAAAACAATAACGTGTCATTCGTGAAAAGAGATGCCTTCGATATTTTGATACTATATAGTATCTCTCCGTATCGGATATTTTTATCCTATCTATATCCTATCTTTGATATATCCTATCTATATTCTATTTTTGTAACGTATCGATGATTTCACTTCCATTAGGAATATTAAATAATAATGTGTATTGTTAATATCTTCTATAGTTAATTTTTTTGTAATTAAAGAAACGTATGTGACATATTTTTATTACATATACATATCTAGTAAAATACATATAGTCAATTTTTAATCTTTTTATTCCCATTGTTTCATATAAATGTATAAATACGAGTGAACATGAAAGCGTCATGTAGCGGGCAAAAAGACATCCATTTATTGATTGTAGAAATGATAACTTCAATGAAAATATTTTTGTCCTCAAAAGTTTTATCTGTCTAATTTATGTCGCGGTATAATAGATTCAAGTATGATTTTAGCAGCATATATTAATTTCAAAGGTATTTTAATTAAGCGTACAGAATGTGATCTTTTATGTGTCATAATATATAATTACGTATATAATATTAATAAATTATTTTTATTTGAGAATTGAAGTGTCACATTAATATAATAAAATAAGAGTAGATCAAAATTATGGTCATTGTATACAAAAAAAGCTCGTGGATTTAGAACGATTCACGA